AAAAAAAAAAAAAAAAAAAAAAAAAGCATATGGCTCAGTAGTTATCAGGCAAAGGCTGTTGAAGAAAAACTCAAAATTACTATTCTGGCAGCCATCTAACTTTTTTCAGCAGTCTACAGACTATGTTTGTCATAGGATAACTTTCTATTAGCCCCTACCACCTCACCCAAGACCCTGGGATGTGAGACATTTCAATGAGAAAAAACATGAGTATATGCATGTGCACGTGCACAAACACACATACAAAAAATATATATATGTATAAGTATATAGTAGTGTATGTGCATGTGGTGGCGGAAATGCATGTGTACTGATAAATACTCCCCAACCATATCTGCAAGGGAAAAAACATCTTACTGCTGCCAGAAAAGCTAAATAAGACTTGGCAGTCTGTAGTTTTTCTCCACTACTCTAAGAGAATGAGAATTAAAGACTAAGTTCTTTACCAAGTACATTACTGTTGCTTCCTTACAAAGAACTGAAAATGACATGTCATCATAATCAGGATACAGTCAAACTCCCTAGGTTTTTGGTTGTTTTTCTCTTTTTAGCAGTTAGGAGGAGAATTTTCCATTCTGGAAGTTTTGAATACCATGGAAATTGACAATGGATATAAACATTGGCCCTATTGCCAGAGGAAGCCTGGGAGAACTTTGGTTTTTTTGTTTTGTTTTTTTTTGCTGTACGCGGGCCTCTCACTGTTGTGGCCTCTCCCATTGAGGAGCACAGGCTCCAGACGCGCAGGCTCAGTGGCCATGGCTCACGGGCCCAGCCACTCCGCGGCATGTGGGATCCTCCTGGACCGGGGCACGAACCCACATTCCCTGCATCGGCAGGTGGACTCTCAACCACTGCGCCACCAGGGAAGCCCCCGAGAACCTTGTTTTTTAATTCAAGCAAAATATCATCTTTGAAGAGGGAACTAAAATAAGTACTGCTATTTTATTTTTAAAATATTTTCTTGTCTTTTAAAATCATAAATTAGCTTTAGCATGACATTGTTTTATATTAATAAGAACCTGGATAAAAACCTGGCATTTCGTAGGTTTTAAAAGAAATCACTGTTGGTCATAAGATAACGGGAATCCCACTTCTTGGGCTGCACACTAGTAGTTGCCATTACTGGTAAGTGATGAATCAATAGGCTTTCTTTATCAATGTTTCCTTGGTGACTGAGCTATCTTGGAAAATAACTGACATGAAAATTATATCTAGGAAAGAATGTTCTGAGTCTTCACTTCACCAACTTCTCCACTGAAGCATCTTAAGGTAAAAGAATGTGTTGTAGCCCAAAGAGACTACCTACCACACAGTAATAAAAGGCTTTTGAAGTCCTTTGTTTTATCCTAAACCTCTGTGTAAAATTTTCCTCCCATCATAAAACACAGCCCCCCACACATGTACAAATACCATCACCAACCTGCTGCCCCCAAAACTACCCAAAATCTTTAAGTAAATTGATGTTAGGAGATAATAATGCGCTTTACTTTTCCTGTACTTTTGAAACCTCCTTGCACATGTACCTCTGGGACATACCTATACCCCAGTTTGAGAAACTCAGTTTTAAGGAATTCTGCTTTTGAAGAATCTGGCTGGATTTTAAAAATTGATGTATATAGGGCTTCCCTGGTGGCGCAGTGCTTGAGAGTCCGCCTGCCGATGCAGGAGACGCGGGTTCGTGCCCCGTTTCGGGAGGATCCCACATGCCGCGGAGCGGCTGGGCCCGTGAGCCATGGCCACTGAGCCTGCGCGTCCGGAGCCTGTGCTCCGCAAATGGGAGAGGCCACAGCAGTGAGAGGCCCGCATAACGCAAGAAAAAAAAAAAAAAAAAAAAAAAAATTGATGTATATAAAAATTTTATTTAACGGTAACATTCCTTGAGTAGAGACCTGCCTTCTTAATCTGGTATATGCACTCCCATTTAATACCTCATTCTGAACCCTTACAAATAAAAAGAATATGTTTGACAAATAATCACTTAAGTTACATTTTCATTTATCTAAAAATTATCCTGAATCTTATTTTTTCCCAGTAGGAAGCTTTCATAAATGCAAAAGACAAGAAAAGCTTAAGCAGATTAGCAATCCAACTCATGTACACAATGAGAATGTCCTATACTATTTCCTTCTCAAAAAAGTTTCATGTTTTCTGTCCTTGTTCAAAAAACCAATGGTTGGTTTTACCTGGACATGTTCTCGATGTTCCCTTTGATAAGAATTTACTACTGAAAATAAACTACTACTCTGTTGAGAGTGTTACTACAATAGAAACCCTTCCTACTAATCCTTTCACTAACCCATATAAACACAAATGAGAGGTAAATTGTCTAGGCCAGTGCTACTCAAAGCAGGTCCACAACAAGATGCTTGTGCCAGAATGTGAATCACTGGATTACTTTCTTCCTGCTGAAGTCTTGTTCCAAAAAAGGAAAATGTCAGCTGAACTAAATAATAAATAGTGTACTTAGCAATGCAGTTGTTTTACATTCTGAGTGAAAATTCTTAATCTCAGTGCAGACTGGTAACGGATGGTTCTCAAGGAGGCAGTCAGTCCACGAACGACACTTAGAGTAGCACTGGGGTCTGGCAACATGACATCTTAGCCACAGTTCAGTGAGAAGAGGTGTATGGTAAACCTTACCTTTGTGGCAGGTGAATGCTGGCATATTACATATAGTACAGAATTCTGAGAATGAGTAAAGTTTATGTATATATCATGTGGTGTTTTTTCTAAAGTACTTTGTCTCATTTTAGCCTTAATAAAAATCCTATAAAGTAGATAAAGTGGCATTATCCCCTACACAGGTTTAAAAAAAAAGAATGAACCAAAGGTATCTGGGCCCAAATTACCTAGCTAATTTTAGTCAGAGGCAGAATCTAGAATACACCCCTTTATTTCTTAACCACTAATAAAAACTGAAAAGTGAAAGGATGTTACATAGAAGCTCACCTTTAGTGATACTCAGTGTGTTATCACCACTTGCTACAAAATCATAAAGTGCAACAAAGAGATTAGGGTCACTCTCAGTGGCTCCAAGCAAGTTCTCCTTGGAGCTCCACCTGATGGCTTCATTCAGGGCCTGGGGTTCAACATCACAACCATAGGGGCGGTGCAAGGCTTCTGAAAGACATAAAGAGAAAGGAGTTCACAGTAAGTCCAAGAGATGGAAATTCATTTGAATTCAGTACATACACAATATTTTAGCTGCTGGCATTATACTAATGGCTCCAGGGTGGAACAAAACTGTACACATAGTTGTGGAGTCATGAAGAATGAGCAAAATAGCACCATCTCCTAAGCAGGAGAGAAGTCTACTTGTTGAAAATACAACAAGATAGAGAAAAGAACACAAAACAAGCATTTAGCATTTATCTGCATTAACCAAAATCAGAAATAAATGAATAGGAAAGGCACAGTTTCCTCAAAATAAAAAAGGAAATTTCAAAAAGAAATGGCAGTTCATTTTATAAAACACACAAGATATTTTGTCTAGGTAACAGTGGTTTTAAGAAGGAATAGTTATGTTTTATAAGTCCTCCCAAAGTACCTTTCTCCCCTTACTCTCTCCATATAAAACAAATTGTGGAAAAGATAACAGAGATTTTAAGAAATATGTACAGACTGTATTAATCCAGACCTTCCATTTACATATAGAAAATTACAGAAATAGTGCTTTTAGAAAAAAATCCTAAAATTATCTATTAAATAACAGAAAAATATATTGGTTTAATACAAAATATTTTTGGCACCCCAAAATACCTTTGTGTTACCATGCACTGTCTATAACGTAACAGCTTTCAACTGTTAATTGTTTTAATGAAAAAAATTTTTACCCTATTTTCTATTCCCAAGTGGTACATTTTTATAAAATAACTAACTTAGGGCTCTAGAAAATACTGCCAGCAGTGGACATGATTTATTGAATTTCTATCATGTACACTGGTTGAAGCCTTGTAAGACCTGGTTTCTTCCTCAAGGCATTGTGGTTCTTAGATTTAGTTATACTACATAAACAGGTGATCCCTATTCCATCTTAGTTAAAGATCACCTGCTTCTCACAGTTCAGGATGATTATACAAAAAATACACTCATCTTTCAGTAGCAATGTTCTTAATCACTAAAAACTGTTTTTTTGTGGCAATCTGCCACTATCCAACTGCCTCTGTCATAAAAAAACACTTTTCTAGTATGTCTCTCTTTCCCTCTCCTTCCACTCATTTTAAATTTAAACTTGGTTTTATCATACACGAAGAGGAAAATCCCTTGAATCTCTGATTTTATTTCTTTTCCAATCCATTCCCTCCTCTCCTTCTGTACTGCCAATGTCTTAGTTCAGATTCCCATCATCTCTCACCTGGACTACTGCCTCCAGTCTTGTCTCCCTCAAATCCATCCTCCACACAGCTGGCAAAGTGATCTATTTAAAACAAAAATTTGACCATGTCACTCTTCAAGATTCTTTAATAGTTCACCATCAAGCTAAAATCTCTTTAACATGGCCTACAAGGTCTCTTATTATCAGATCTCTACCTATTCCTCCAGCTTCACCTCTCCCCCATTCCACACCTCAAATTTTACATCTGAACATACACCACGATGCTTCCTACCTTTTTGCCTTTGTTCACAAGTCCTATCTACCTAGAATGCAAACTCATCCCACCCTTTTTTTTTTGCCGTACGCGGGCCTCTCACTGTTGTGGCCTCTCCCGCTGCGGAGCACAGGCTCCAGACGCGCAGGCTCAGCGGCCATGGCACGGGCCCAGCCGCTCCGTGGCATGTGGGATCTTCCCGGACCAGGGCACGAACCCGTGTCCCCTGCATCGGCAGGCAGACTCTCAACCACTGCGCCACCAGGGAAGCCCTATTCATTTTATTGATATGACACTCAACTCCAATATAACCTCCGCTTGGAAGCCTCACATGCTCCTCCTCCCTGTGCTCACAAAAGCATTACACTTGCTGCAGTAACAACTCCTATCTTTATCCTCAATTTATGTTCATTTCCCCAACTTCACAATGTGTTCCTTGGCATAAGAACTGTATCTCTTTTCTAGCAAGTCACATAATATGCGTTCAGTAATTGTTGACTGAATGAATAACCAAATTACACAAAAATATAAGTGACAGGAAACAGTGAGATGTCTTTTAAACTTAAAATAGCATTAACCAATGTTTTTAAAATGGCTTCATAACCGTCTGTATCATATAGACAGAAATTCCTCTTATAGGTTGGATGTTCTTCTAACAGTTTATTTCACTTCACATTCCTTCCTCCTCTTAAAAAGAATATATTTTTTAAATTTCACAGCTAATTAAATTGTTTTACATTAAGAATGTTATAACAAACCTGAAGATATGTCCATATGTCCTGAAAAGTTAATTTGAAACAGATTACCTTGCTTCTTGTTTAAATGCAAAATTATAGTGAATAGGAACAGCTGTATTATATATACTAAGATAACAAATTAGGATTACCAAACAAACAAAATACTATATCATATAAAACATGCTTCAAACTGGTCTCAGGTACTATGTTTTTCTTCATTCTAATGAAATATTATCTATTCTAATGGAATTTCCATTGGGCTACTTTATTAAAATGAAAAGAACTGCCAAAAAGAAGTACAGAGAATATTCTAATACTTTTTAGGTTCTATACTGAATATCACATGTTCCATCCACAATGATAAATGTTTCTTGCCAGTGATAGTGGTAACACATTACAATGTTTTATGATTATTATTTGGTTTAATGATTGTCAAACAGTTCAAGTATATTTCCTTCTTTTTAGATAAAAGAAAGTCCCCCTTGTTTGACATTATAAGAGGAACAAAAATCAAGGGCAACAAGAACTTCTGTACTACCAAGTCAGAAACAGTAATCAAGTAGACACTGAAGCCAACTCTTAAATCCTATCAGGCCAAAAACAACAAATACTGTATATTTATACCTTACTTTGTGAAACCCAGTATATTAAAAATCTAAGATTTACAAAACTAATGATTTTAGTGAACATCTACTATAAGTAGGCACCATGCTGGGCCTCAGAATATAAAGATTAAAAATCACAAATAACATTATTTGGACTTACTATAAAAAACTAGCATCCATTCTTTCCCCCAAATGTGCTGCTCTCACAGAATTTTCCACCTCAGTTAATGGCAAGTCCATCTTTTCAGTTCCTCAGGCCAAAAACCTTGGAAGTTTGAGTACAAACTGTAAGTTAAATAAGCTCTGGGGATCTAGTTTATAACACAGTAATTATAGCTAATAATAATGTATTATAAATTTTAAAATTGCTAAGAGACTAGATTGAAATTGTTCTTACCACAAAAAAAGAAATGGTAATTACGTGACATGATGCAGGTATTAGCTAATGCTATGATGGTAATCATCTTGCATTACCAAAGTGTACCAAATCAACACTTATGTATTATTATACCTTAAACTTACACAATGTTACATGTCAATTATATCAATAAAGGTGGGGAAAGAAAAACAAAAAACCTTGGAATCATTCATGACTCCTTTTTTGCTCACCAATACAACATCCAATCCATCAGACAATCCTATTGGCACTGCTTCCAAGGGAATTTATCCATTTCTCACCCCCTCCACTACTACTGCCCTGTCACCAGCATCATCTCTCAGCTAGATTATTTCACTAGACTTCTAACTGATCTCCATGCTTCTTATCCTAGCTCTCTGCTGTCTATTCTCAACACACAAACAAGCTTTTAAAGCATAAGTCAGATTGCTTTACTCCTCTGCTCGAAACTCTTTGATGGCTCCTTATCTTGGAATAAAAGCTAAAGTCCTTACAAGGGGCCTGCAAGGCCCTTTGCAACTTACCTTGCCCAATTCATCTTCCTACTATTCCTCTCCCATTTTACCTCATTCTGACTACTGGCATCCCTGCTGTTGCTTGAACAAGACAGGCACACTCCTACCTCAGGATCTTTGTACTGGCTTTTCCATCCACCTAAAACATTCTTCCCCAAGACATCCACATGACACTTCACTCAAATGTTACCCTCTTGGTACGGCATTCTCTGACCATCCTATTTTAAAATGCATCTACTCCTGACAACACTTCCACATCCCCCACGCCTCCTTTCCTAATGTATTTCTCTCCATCACGTTTTTTTTATAAGTTTATTATTATTTTTTTGGCTGTGCTGGGTCTTCGTTGCTGTGCATGGGTTTTCTCTAGTTGCGGCGAGTGGGCTCAGTAGTTGTGGCTCACGGGCTTTAGAGCACGGGCTCAGTAGTTGTGGCACACAGGCTTAGTTGCTCCGCAGCATGTGGGATCTTCCTGGACCAGAGCTCGAACCCATATTCCCTGCATTGGCAGGCGGATTCTTAACCACTGCGCCACCAGGGAAGTCCCTCCATCACTCTTATTACCACAAAATATGTAATTTATTTATCATCACATTCACATCAACTATTACTTCACCCCACTAGAATATTAGTTTCAGGAGGACAGGTATTCTTGCCTGCTCTGTTCACTAATAAATTCCAAGCACCCCAAACAGTGAATGCATATAAGAGTCTCTTGAAAACAATTTGTTGAATAAATGAACGATGCATACTGCTATACTCACAGAGGATGCTATGAGAGGACAGAATAAGAAAACAAAACTGCAGTCAGAAAAGGTTTCAGAGAAGAGAAAGCATTTAAACTGGATGAGCAGGAATTCTGCTCTGATGATAGTAGAATGACAGACTGTCAAAGTGCAAGAACATGTCTACGACATGTGATTCATCTGTACTGGAGAGGAACTCCATCAAGCTCAAAGGATTTTTAAAGGCAAGTCAGCTTCTTAAAACCATGTTATTTGACAAAAGGAGAAAAGAGAATGAGACCTATGGCACAATTTTATGAAAACTTAAAACATATATACAGGCCAAAAAATACCGTACATTTCTGTAATATATACAAAATAATAAATACAGGAAAAGTCATTTCTGAGACCAAAGTACTAAAAGAACCACAACATGGAAAACAATCCTTTTTATTCCCCAATCCCCTTCTTCCCATCTCTGGTTTTACAGTCTTTTTGGTCAAGTCAAAAGATCTTATTTCCGGGCTTCCCTGGTGGCTCAGTGGTTGAGAGTCCGCCTGCCGATGGAGGGGACGCATCGGGGTTCGTGCCCCGGTCCGGGAAGATCCCACATGCCGCGGAGCGGCTGGGCCCGTGAGCCATGGCCGCTGAGCCTGCGCGTCCGGGGCCTGTGCTCCGCAACGGGAGAGGCCACAACAGTGAGAGGCCCGCGTACGGCAAAAAAAAAAAAAAAAAAAAGATCTTATTTCCTTCGTTTCTTCTTTCTTCCCACTCTTTTGTTCTCACAGTACTAAGGCTCTATTTCCTGTACAATCCACCTGCACAGGATATCCATTTAAACACTATCCTACCCACTAGCACCAAACAAAAGGAGAAATTTTCCAAAGACAAGAAACATCCTAACATTTTCCTGAGGCCAGGAATGAACATGCTTTAAATCATAAAGAGTTAAAGAACTAAATGGGGGAGAGCAAGCTAAGGAATGAAGACAAAAAGAGGGGGGAGGACCTATAGGAAGTAAATGCCACCGTGTTATCCAGTAGGTCTAGTCTATGCTACTTTCCTCATGGGCTTAAGACAGTCAAATCTGGATGATTCAGATGTACTGCACCCGCCCAAATACAAGTGTGTAGGCTGGGAATGTTTTATTTTTTGAACAATGTCAAGTGACTACTATACATGAGGTAACTTAAGATAGTGAGTTATCTTTCATTACTATTGTTGAGGTATATCACGGACTTAAGATGACACAACAGAAGACTCTAATTTTTACTTATGGAATATAGGACCCAGGTAGCAGAAATACATTGTGACTATTAAAAAAAGGTAATTTTATTACTTTTTTCTACTAATACACTTGTAGGAAACAATAAAAATGAGGTAAAACATAGAAGTAGCAGCTTGTACAAAGTAAATTATCAGGATTAAGCAAGTTAAAATCCAGAATAAAACTCAAATTCAGAGACAATTCCTAAATTTAACATTTAATGTTTAATTACTGTTTAAATAATGTTTAATTAAAATTAATGTTTAATTTTATTAAAAACACTTTTTACCAGTCATTCAATAACTTTTAGCAGAAATTTCTAAGTTTAAGAAATTTCTAGGTAGAAACTTGTCAGGTAGTAATTGGAGAAATTAATATTCAAAATTTTCAGTTTAGGCATTTCCAAGCATTTTTATGAACACTTATCTTGCTAGAATTCTACTTTGTCTGATTGCATATTCTCTAGAAGCTAATACTTTTTTTTTTTTTTTTTCTTTTTGGTTGCACCGCACAGCTTGCAGGATTTCTGTTCCCCAGCCAGGGGTCAAACCCAGGCCCACGGCAGTGAAAGCACAGAGTCCT